GTCAAATACGGACATATTGTGTTGGTGGCTTGAAGATAATTGATTGTTCAGTCTCATTTACGGATGCCCCCTGTTGTGTTGTGTGGCTCGCTCCTAGCCACATTGTTTGTTTCCCATTTAAACCTAAACCTATTCTCTCTCACTCTCTCCAGAATGGCCAGCCCCACCTTTAAGCAAAAATATATATATTTAAAATTTGAAAACCTTTTTTACACCAGATGGGCATTTTTATACCGTAGCATTAACAAAAACTGAATGCAGCAGAATTATAAAGTCTGAGCACAGTGGACATATTTTAATTATTTATTAATTTTCATCAACATATAAAATACATAATTGCTGCACCTCAAAGCCTGAAGCAGATACAGCTGCAGATAATGTAAATCAGCTTTATGTAAATTATGTAAATGTGTGTGGATTTGTCTCTCTTTGTCTGCTGTCAGCTCCACTGCCACACGTCTCTAAATTATTACATATACATAAACATTTTACACCCTGGTCACCCCTTCCTTGCTTTCTTACTTTTCTCGTCTCTCCTCACCATCCCTCCGCAGGTCACCCCACGTGTCTGCAGTTCACCGACAACATGATGCAGGCAGTGAGGACGTACCAGTGGCAGTGCATAGAGTGCAAGTCTTGCAGCATCTGTGGCACCTCGGAGAACGATGTATGTATAATGCAGGAGAGGGAGGTTCTTGTACGGTCCTCTGGGGCTCCAGAAATGTCAGTGTTCGGATGTTATTACTATGTTTCCCTTTGAATTAGCTTTGATGCGAGCTGAATTTGACTTGTTTTCCTTTTAATACTGTGACCTTTCCATGGTCAGCTTTCAGCCTGTCGTAGGCAATACATTACATTGAATCTAAGTTACTTTACATGCCAAGCAGATATTATACTTGATAAATCAGCCCAGATGTGGTTTTCTTTTTCAAATCAGTGAGTGACTCAGTAATATGTTTTCTAAGAGTGAAAATACTACTGTTGCTCTTTTGAATGAATTATCTTTATATATTATAAATAATGTAGTTTATTTGTATAGCACAATTACATACAATTGCAAAATCATTGTATTGTATTCAAGCTGGATAGTCTCAGCATTTTTGACAGTTGGATCCAGAGGTTTAAGAATAAAAGATGTGGCCTCTTTGAAGCTCAATTAGCTGTCCCATGATGCTTTGAAAGTTCACAGTGCTACTTGTCAGACCTCTTTTATAGCTGATAAATGCTGTTAACTGGCATTCAACATAATGTGAGCCACATTTACAGCAGTATTTGTAACTCTGATTTACTTACTTACTGCATTTATATCCCTTTCCATGCAAGAGGAATACTTATTCTTCTGCCCCCTTTTACATATTGTATAGATATTATATATCTAAGATGTTGATTGTGTGCTGCCAATGCAGGACCAGCTGCTGTTCTGCGACGACTGTGACAGAGGATACCACATGTACTGCCTGAAGCCTCCAATGACCCAGCCTCCAGAAGGTACAGCCACTTTCATAGGTTTTGTTATGCATCAGCGGGTTGATACTATATATGCTGTATATCTCAGAGAGGCTACAAGCAAAGGCTATATATGGAAAAGAGCAAGGAGGACAAAGATTTGAACCTCTCTTTCTCTGTCCACAGGGAGCTGGAGCTGTCACTTGTGTTTGGACCTGTTAAAAGACAAGGCTTCAGCCTACGGAGAAGCATAATTCCCTGGACATTCTTTTCAACACACACGTACACACAATATATATATATTTGTACCTATACATTAACTGTTTGACATGCCCACACATCAGCAAAAAGTATCTCAGATAGTATAAAACACACAGATACACTCTTTCACACACACTCCAGTGCATTAGCAGGCTCAGGGCAGTTTCCTGTGTGTGAGGCGGAGAGATCCTCACACTCCAGATGCAAACGGCATCAACATGCAATCTCGACCATAAGTCAGCTAACAGCAGGCCTGCCATTCAGTCATTTCTCTACCTCACCACTCAGTAGACGGCAAGAAGCCAAAGCAAGATAATGGCTAATACATGTGTAGTGCATGTGTATGTGAAATACATGTTTTTAAACCAAACATCTGAAAGTTCCTGGATGTTTTCCCCTGATTTGAACGTTTTCGATTTGGAAGACGTTTGTCCCAGAGTTTTTGCTGAAGCTGTTTCACTTGCCTCCCTTGCTGCTCAAGTTCTACAGTGGGGGAACCTGAGTGGGTTTGACTAATGTTTGTTTAAATTTCTTCTTCCAGCTCTACTTCTCTCCTGTGTTTAGACCTTACAGTGACATTCCGATTTTATATCTGGACAGACTCAGTGTTAGTTATGCCATCTTTCACAGGTTTTGTCAAGCTTGGCGAAATTTATATCCAGTGCTAAGAGCAAACGGGCTGATAAAACAGCCTCGACTATCATTTCTCTTGGCGCGCAGTGACATTTTTAATCCACGTCTGTTTTTTGTATGCTCACAGTTACTAGGATACCATGGTGCTCAATTTGACACTTTAAAAAATTATAACATTTCTTTACGTAGAATGAAACACTTATTTATTTATTGCTGATAATGGTCCAATGTTACTGTCAAGGAGATCATTGTTACTGTAAATCAGTGGTTCCCAAACTTCTTTTATGGCCCCCTTTGGATGCCAAAAAAACAACTGACCCCCTCTCTCCCCCTACACAAACACAGAAATTGATTGCATTTTTATCATATTGTAACAGTACTGGGGAAATTGTAATAACAATAGCTGAAATATATTGAAATAATACATATTTTCTTGGATTTTGTCATTATGTTCTGATGTTAAACTGAAAAATATAAATTAAACTTTGTCCAAACTGCCGGTATCTTTACACACAAGCTTCAGCTCTTATAATAACAGTCAATTCACAATCAAGATGGAAGTTGGGAACCACTGCTGTAAAATTAACCAGTGCAGTGCATGCGTATATTATCAAACCTTGATTCATGACTATATAACAGGCAGTGTGAGGAACCATATAGGCTACATGTCCGGAGGAAGCAGTATTTACTGGCGAGTCCTGTCTGGAAGTTGGCACAGGTTATACAAGAATTGTTTTTTTTTACAGTATTTTAAATGCAGTTATTACCAGAATAATCTGGACGTTCTGTATTTGTATTACCACGTAAGTAAGATTTATATGTTAAAATGGTTTTACCTAAACTCGAATATTTAAATCTTCAAAGGCCCATCAATGTAATTTATGTTTTTGTTCCGAGCTAAATTTGGTAGCACTCGCTTACTGCTCTCTAAAAACAAGGTTGCTCACGAAAAGGAAGAAACACCACGAATAAGCTCAAAACTACAACAAAAAAACAACAATTTAGAAGTACACATAGTGTGCAAGCCTTGACAGGATATCACAATCTGCATTTGTGTGTTTTTTTTATTGTGAGTTTGTATTTGATATTGCTTTTCCACTGACAATCATGAGCTAGCATAGATATAGTACATGATGTTATTAATATGCAGAGGGTTTTATTGTGCTTGTCCATGGTGGGTATAATGACCCTTTGTGTCTTCCTTTTAAAAATGTCTTGGATGTCATCCTTATTTGATGCCATCACATACAGTGATTTAAAATGTGTGTTGTATTTTGTTAAAGTAAATGTAATGTTTTGTGTTGAAATAAAGACTTTTCCATAAATCTTGTTTCACCTAAACATCTTCAATCCACTTGTTTCACATTTTGACTGTAAAATATATCCACAAAAACACTCTTTCAACAACGTCTGTTCTCTTTTAATAATACATTTCCAGGAAACCCTAATGGCATATATACAAACTGAAAATAGGCACTGAGTGTATGAGGCTCTGGCCAAGATGGCTGCGTCTGATATGAATCCATTATAATCTAATGGTTAGATAAGCTCTCATTTACCCTTGGTTTTCTCCAAAGATATGGTTGCCTTTCTGTTTGTCTGCCAACATCTCTTTCTATTGATGCTCCCGCCAGTGACTAACAGGGATACACAATAAACCTTACAAGATGTTACAAGCATGTGAATTTCTTATCCAGTATTTACCAGTATGTGTAACACTGCTCAGCTAATGTAATGGGTTCAAACCCCTCATTGATTCTTTTCACCACTTTCCAAAGAATACGTTTTATTAAATGTTATTATAGGTAAAATGTCCATGTCATCGCATTACAGGAAATGTTACATGGTTTGCCCTTTGACGCCTCATTATAGGTTAGTACTTACATCAAATTGCCACTAGGGAGCACTCTTGGACTTGAGTAGAGCTCTGGATTATTCACTCTAAAATGTCTCAGTATGATGCTATATGAGGAAATGTTAGTTGACTGATTGTCTTAACAGCCTTGACACATAAATCTGATCAATTTGAGCATTTCTCAATGAGAACTGTAGCAGTATTTTGTCTCAACTGGACTCCTTTAAACTTTTAAACCCATCTCCCAGTGATATAAGAAATATTCTTAGTAGATCCTTTACTGAAGTAAAAGAAGCAGTACTGCAGTGTAAAAATCTTACGTTAAAATGCGTAAGTATTCTCTATAAATTGTACTTAAATATCCACAGTAAAAGTATTATGTATCATGCAACATAGACCCTGACATTACAACAGGGTAACAGGTAAGAGCTGTCAATACAATATATTGGTGTAAAAACATACAGTAGGCCAGAAGAGACAAAACAAAGACTGGCTCTAGATAGGGCCTTTTACTGAGCTGTATGATTGCAATCTGCAACTTCACCATTAGATGCCACTCAATCGTACACACTGGTCCTTTGAGGTAAATGTATTACCTACTGCCCCACACATTGTGACATACAGCAGTTATCCTGAGATCAAATTAATAAGACCCTAGTTGACCGCAGAAAGATTTAGGATGTTCACTGCAAACAAACCTTACTGTGCAACTCAAAAGAAAGAGTCTGGGAACCCTCTGTGACTTGACTTTGCTCTCTTTCTGTACTGTATATTATTGTTTCAAGGTTGGCAACAGGATATTAAAAAATAGTTAAAAAATGACAGTAAAATGATTGTTTGTTGACAGTTTACTGGGACACACATTTCACATGAGAGTGACAAGAACAAACATATTACCTGCTTTAAACTGTAACAGCTGACTTGTTGATCTACACCCTCCAAATAATGACATAAATTACTTTCACTACTGAAAAGAAATACCATCTATGTCTTTTTGTATTGCATGTGTCTCCCCGTATAAAAGCCTGTATTGTTCACTTAGCAGCTTGTAGTCATTCCAGTGATGATGGACAGGAAAGTGTTTGTGGCGAAGCTGGGATTCAGTAGAAGCTGCCCCAACATCTCTCTGCCTCTCTCTCTTGTGCTCACTGAACACATGGCACTTTTCCAAAGACGCACCAACGTCCCACCTGGTAGATGAAGTGATCATGATTACCTTAAACACTCACTAATTCAATAAAAAAAATACTTTTTAAAATTTGTGTGTGAATGTCTGCGTGTTTCCTACCCAGTAGAGAATTGACACTGCTCATCCAGGAGAAGATAGACAGTGTGTGGTTCTCCTCCTGACTCAGATCAGCAATATTAGGCGCACTGTCAGTCGCCTACACATACAAATATGACAGACAGAACAAAAGTTGTAAAACTCATAAGTTGATTTAGAAGGGAATGGATGGATTGATGGAGTGGTGTGTACGTACCTGTAAAACTCGACTCGGCAGAGGGGTTATGAATGATGCAGAATTTTCCAAATTGGATTGGAAATGTGCTGCTGAAACGTACTCTGCAGAGTTCAGCCAGCTGTTTGCAAATGCCACTTCTACAGAGGAGTAGTGGCCCTGCCTGAAGGAGAGGGGAGGACAGAGATGAGAAAGGTTGAAAGAATAGTAAAAGAAGTAGTTCCTTTGTTGCAGAGAGTTGGATGGGAATATTGATTCCACTCTAATAACTGTCAAATATGAAGCTACAGTTAGCAGCCTGTTATCTTAGCTTGGCATAAAGATTTGAAACAGACTTTAAACTCAGTGTAAGATAGATAGATAGATAGATAGACTAGAAGATAGATAGATACTAGATAGATAGATAATAAATAGAAGATCAGATAGATAAAATAGATAGATAGATAGATTACCTGGCATTGCATGCAGCTGAGGCTTGAGTTGAAGCCATTTGGGCTGCCCAGTAGAGGCCGAGGAGAGCATCTTTCTTCTCATTTTCAGGGAGTTCAGACTCAGCTGCAGACTTCAGACCCTTTAAAAACACACATAGAACATATTGCACCTCCACAAAGCACCCACAACTTCATTGAAATCAGTAATGTGTATATGGATTTGTTTGTGTCCGTGTACTGCATGTACCTGAAAAAAGGCGTCCCACTTAGATATGGCATCAGGGTACTGAACTGCACAGTCAGCATATGTGGTGCAGTAGTCCGTTACACCTTCAGGCACCTGCATCTGGACCTAATAATATCAATATCAATCATCATTACAGCCATGCTCCTCATTATCAGAACCATAACAATTAGCATGATTCACATTTGTGTGAGGATATAAAAGAATCAATAGCACTCAGTTGGTCCACCACTTTGATGATGAGACATTAATGGTGCCTATAGGAGGAATCTTTATGACTTTGGTAATTCCCTGACGTTTTCCTCAGTGCCATCATGAGTTTAAATGTGTGGTTTTTAAGTAAAATCGCTGTACAACCCCTGCTGGATGGATTGCAATAACTCATCAGGTCAATAATCATAACTGCTTAAGATCAGGATGAGAAGTACCTGAACTCCTGCTCCCATGAAGCCCTGCTGTGCAGCAGACAGGAAGGGCAGTGCAGAGGCATAGTAGTTCACACCTGAAAGACGTGGTTTTGAAAGTGTTTAGTGTGCATATTTGTGTGTGTGTGTGTAACTGTACAATCTAAGACATTATTAAAAGAAGTGCATTTTAAAAGTCCCTTTAATCTATTTGACAGTTGTTAGTACATCAAAGTTCCACACACACTTATTAATATGATGCATTCATTAAAATACAGTTATACTTATACTTAAATTAGCACCACCTCAATGAGCCACAATTGATAAAAATTTCTTGCCTTACACGTTTAAATGCATCACTCAATGTATTTAATACAAAAATCTACACTGACGGGGATCATCATTTATTTGTAGATGATGCTTGTAACTTAGTCAAGGATTAAATACCCCTTCCACCACAGGCTTGGATTCGTACTCCTGCTTTTTTTTCAAGACTTGCTGACTTAGACGATCTACACTGCAATTAAAAAATTGTCATAGATGGTATTTGTAAACTTCATTCCTGTATTTACTTTAGGGGGCGGTATATTAAAGATTCATTATTCTGATTACTTGATTACTTTAGGTCAACAGTTAACATAAATAAATTATTTATCAATACTTGATCCTAACTTTGTGGCAAAAGATGTGAAAAACGCATTTAGACTTTTAGTATACTACAATTTACAGAACATATAATTGAACAGAATAAATCAATAAAAATATGGAAAAAAAGATCATTAATAAATGTTAGAGAGCTTCTTTTTGTGACATAAACACAAATAGCTGTGTCGTCAGGAGTTGCAGAGATGTGCCTGAACGATGAGTGCTCAAATAGTGCACTAAGTGCACTTTAGATAAGAGTGATCTATGGAGTTTATTGGGCCTCTGGCTGTCATGTGTGTCACAGATGTTTGCATCATCGAGGTTCAGGGTTGGGTTATCCCACACAGCCCTGCTAAAAACTCAGCTCTGGTATCCAACCTTTCACATGGTATCTGGTTCAGTGTTAGTTTTGGAGAAAAAGAGTTGCTGCGTTTTGGGGGACTTGACAGTTGAGGTTGTGAAATTTAAATTAAAGTCAACAGCGAGTGTGAATATAAGATCGTGAAGAAAGCAAGAAATACTTGTCTAAAAACACTCTATTACAATAAAACTCTAAATTAAAATTTATTATATAAAAGAAACATAAGGCTTATAGTAATATTACTTAATGTTCAGAAAGTACATGATGCAGAAAGCCCCTTCACATCCTTTATGAATATTATTTATTCCGTTTATCATTTAAGGAAGTAAATGTAAGGGCCATTTAATGTTGTAGTTCTTCAATGTGGACAAGTTATGACTTTACACTAGGTACTGGGTGGATTAGTATATAATATTTATCATGTTCATATATAAGGCATATCATCAACATCGTCACTTAAGTACAGATGCTTGGTGCACTTCAATCAGTTTGCAAAATAACACCATACAAAGCATAGTAAAGCATATCAGCTTGAGTTGGTCTTGGTTTTCAGGTGCCAAACGTAGGGTCGGTCCAGGTGTTATCTTAGTTTATTGAGATAGAGGCTTTAAATATTCTGCCAACTCTCTCAGAATTGTTGGCAAAAAAGTACACAGGGTGGTCACTCAGCATCTGCAGATGTGGATTCACCTGCTGTTTGACGCAGGACATAGTACTTATCTTGTTGTCAGTTCTTACAAAAAGGTTTTTTTAAGAGTGTGTGCTGGTGGAGGTTCAAATGTTAATCAGGGTTAATCAGTTCAACGTGTAATTATGTATTTACTTATAGATTTCAGTCATGTATAAGCAGCCCGTATTTATTTTTTAACAGAACATGTAAACCGAAGGGGATCTTTGAGCATATATATTCATTGGTCATTGATAAATAACACTAGTCTCTTTTGCTCCTACTTTTAAATTCACATCCAGTTTCAGAATGTGAAAAACATAAATCATCCAGTGTTCTTTGAATCATAGGGTGAAAGTCTGTTGAGTGATTTGATTGCTCTTAATGTGGACCATAATTCAACATCACACTTATGATCGAGTTGATCTATTTCTGATAGTATTGAGTATTGAGCTCTATTACACACATTATCTTATCTGTCTGTGATTGAGGGTCCACTGGTCCACCGTCACATGGATACGTGAGTGGTATCTCTCGTGAAACGAACATGTGTTTTGCTTGTGTGGGTGAGAGGAATGTGAACAGGAGAGTACATAAGCCTTGTATCAATGTCACAACTGTCAGTCCAGGAGTAGGCTCTTCTTCACTCTTCCCTCTCTGCATCATGCTGGTTCCGACAGTCTCGGTCTCCTGCGGCAAGTGCAGTGTCTCTAAGCAGCTCTGCTGTATTCTAGAAATGGCATGCCCATCCTGTGGGTACATACGACGGCCTGTGACTGACCTGCGACACCAGAATGGCGTCCTGACTCCTGGATCCTGGCATTCCTTCACCGAATGAGTCTTTACGGCTGATGATAGCTGCTCAGACCTTCATGGGCTCCATGTGACAAATCCACAGACAGTTCCACTGGTGGGACTGCCACTGCAGCTTGATGGATGCTGACTCAGGGTAAAATAGCTCATATTTTGACCGCTCTCTAAAATATGGATAGTTGGTGACAAAGATTAGTGAGTCATTAAGAGCCATTAAAGCTCTAGTTACATTGAAAACTCTCGAAAACAGTTATTTATAAGAAATAATAACCAACTTATGGAGTTACAGGAGTTCAACATGAGAACATCCCATCCGCTGTTGTTCTAAACTGAGTGACCAGGACATTATTAAGGCACCAGCTACCAAAATATCTACAACAAACTGGATTGGTTGTTATGTATGATGTGTTGATTCTGGTAGGGCGTCTCGCTGATCAACCCTGCTTACAACCTGTGCCTGGAAACAGGAGATACCATGTGTATTTTCAACTCAGAGCTGGTGGGGCTGTAAGTATGACACAACACACACG